CCAAATAACCAAAGAAGCGAGACTGACAGAAGAAAGGGTCCTGCTATTGTGACACATGCCGAGTGAAAAGTCTTAACGCTGCACGCTCTGCTTTTAGAATCACAGTGTATGTTTAACTTCTGGGGTTTTAACTCATGCTAATTTCTAATTTTAGAAATGAGCAGCAAAGTATAATTCAAAAAAATAATATGGTCAAATAGCAGTAGTAGTCATATACATCTGAGCTGACTTGGTTAAGTGACTACTGCATTATAGTGACTGATTTCATTAAAGGGATGGCTAATCCATGTGAATGCTCCCAGATCCTTGTAGGTTGGTAGTTCCAGGACAAATGCATATCTGGAATTTTTATTTCTGCTAAAAAGTCCAATTTCATTAGTAAAAATATGGAAAGGGAAAATCCCCTATTTTGAGATAAAATACTTCTTGGGTTTAATTGGCAGGTTTAATGATTTTAATTGGATTTCATTCAAGAAGCCAGAGGACTTGTCAACAGTAGGGGCACTTTTGATTGGTGTTGGCTGTAACTTGCTGTCTTGAGAACAACTGCAGGTAACAGCTTGATAGAACAGAGCATTAGGATGGAGTTAATTTTTGGCAGTGACAGAACACTAACTAGAAACTGGTGTTCTCTGTGGTAGTTTTAAACAGCAGAAATTCTCTATTGTATGTAGAGTTTTCAAAATTTTCTCCCTTTCCTTTCCAGACACAGCCTTGGCAAGACCTACAACATAGTTCTGGGATCTGGACAGGTGGTGGTGGGGATGGACATGGGTCTTCAAGACATGTGTGTCGGGGAACGACGAACAGTCGTTATTCCACCTCATCTTGGTTATGGAGAAGATGGAGTTGGTAAGTGAGCGAAACGTATTGCACATCCACTTAGCATCTCTTGAGTAACTGAAACACAAGTGTGCGTGTTTAGTAACTTGCTGTGCATCAGGACGTAAGGTGAGTGTCTCTTCTCTGCTCGAATGGGACTTATTTTAGACATTTTTCATTTCATTACTTTGGACAACCCCTCTCTGTTCCCCAGTGAAATGATCATACTGTCTGTGTTGTGATTTAAGTCATGCTGTTACTGTGGCCAGTAGGAAGACCATCCCAGTACAAAAGGGAACACACGCCCCTAGTAATGTTGCTTTGTCAAAACGGAAAGCTGCAGGCACTCTGGTGTTGTAGAGGGATGTAAACACTTTTCTCCATGATAGGGAAGCAGGGACACTCATGGGTACTCATGCTTGGATGTGGGACATGTTACTCAGGAAACAAAACTGAAGGGGACTCTTCAGCACTAATGTGTTGGAAAATTTAAAGAAAACTCAAAATTCAGAAGCTACCTAAACTGAATGTGAGATGTGAAATGGTGTGTCGGTGCTGTTGAAATACCAACACCAATACATTTAGGGCAGTTTGTTCTGTTTTAGAGCATTGAGGCTTATTAATTTTTAATGACAGGGACAGCCGTAATAAAAAGAACAGTATAGAAGTGACAAGAATTTTCATATTCAAGTATGTGGGGTTGTTACTGATCTTCTGAGTTAAAAGACTCAAGGGAAAGGAGTCTATCAGGAGATCACCACGATCAACAAACTCTGATATGTATGGAAACAGTTGTATCAGTTGGTATGTTCTTTGAATAGCTCCAGAACAGTTTGTATTTTATAAAGACTGTCTGTCAGGGATCATGTGCCAAGCTTAATGGAGAATTAATTTGTGATAAGAGATAAAGAAGCTTTTTCACTTGTACCTGTCTTCCACCAAAACTTGAGTATTATATATGCAACATTTTATATAAAATTGCATAGTTATATATAATAAATAGAAAATTTCCTCACAGCATAAAAAGTCTGTTGTGTTAAATACGTGTCATAGGTATTTGCCATCATTCAAATTATGTTTGATATAGATGGTCTGAAACATTGCGTGACTGTTAGCGTTTTGGTATATACCCAGATATCTGAGGAGATTGCTCGTTTGCTACTGGACAGAAGTTGAAAGTTGACCTTGATTTTCTTTTTCAAGGATAAATTGAACTCCTTCCGTGGTTTCGTTAAGGTAACATCCCAAGATGTTGCAACACTGTTGAGTCTGTCAGTAGCAGCAAGATAAAGGAAAATTGATTCATTCCCGCAGTTTTTCCTTTATAAGTAAAAAAATTGGATGCAGTTTTGTTATGAAAGTTTTATGTTCTGATCACCTTGGCTGAAGTGAACAGGAAGATTTGGTGGGCTTGGGATCATGGGGCTTGGGGATCACAGTAGAGAAGCACCTGTTGGCCCAGGAAGAGTAATTACGGATTAAAAGGAAATACACCCTTCATGTAAGTAAGGATAAATACCCCTCTTTGCCGTTTGTTGTGACAGAAGGAGAAGTGCCTGGTAGTGCTGTATTAGTTTTCGACATCGAACTGCTGGAACTGGTGTCTGGTTTGCCTGAAGGGTACATGTTTGTATGGAATGGGGAAGTCTCTCCCAATCTTTTTGAAGAAATAGACCAGAATCATGATGGAGAGGTTCTTTTGGAGGAGGTAAGCTGAAATAATGAAAATGCTTGCGGTGGTTTTCACCTACCAGCATCATCAAGATGTTTTCTCCTACAACCATCAAATGCAGATGTTAAAGAATGGGGTCTCTCCTTTTCTCCTCTTCTTCCGACAAAGTGTTTGTTGTCAAGTTAACAGGAAGGCAGCATGTCAGTTAAAACATGGTTATTTAGCTTTAGAGGTAGAACCAAAAAAAAACCAAACCAAAAAAACAAGAATGGCCACGCTACTTAAGATCATGTACTCTTGTGGTTTCCTTGGTCAACAACAGATACTGAGGGCACAAGCCTAGGAGGCACAGAGTTAGTATTCAACAATCCTTTGCTGTATCGGCCTTCTCAGGGTCTGTTAATTTATGGTGAATTCTTGAGCCAAAGCTGAGCCTGCAGCAGTGCATCCAGGAACTGCCTAATCACATCTGGAGCCAGGCAATGCCTGCGGCTGCTCCTTCCACAGGGGAATTGTGTGTTGTGGGAACCAGCCCTTCCCCTTGCTTGCTTATAAAATCTGCAGTGTGAGAATGTTTTTGGGTGCCCTAACTGGAAGCTGCTTGCCTTTGCTACACCAGCTCTGATAACACAAAGCTCCATGAGGCTTTGCTCTGCATTTTCTCTTAACTGAGGAGTTCTGTTTTCTTATTCTCACGGCTTCTTTGTTACCTTTCTCTGTCATTCTGGTTTTTGTCCTTCCTTGCTGAAGTAGCGCTGCCTGCAGCACTCAAGGGGCAGACTGTGGCCCTATGGAACAGCATGAGATGCTTTTGATCATTTTACAAGACAATTGAGTAAAACCAGAATCTTCTTTTCCTTTTGCCTAGCATTCTCTTCCACCTCTTTGTTCTTCTTCCTTCTCCATCTTCTCTCTTTTGTTTTGCCTCCACTTCTGCTTTTGCAGAGAAGAAAAGAGCTCTTACCAGTCTAGAGAAAGAGTGAGGTAGGATGTGACTGTTGCTGTCCCCATCCTTCTGGGCACCTAGCAAGGAGGAGAAGGAGAAGCCAAGGAGATAGGAGAGGATGCTTGGCCTAAAGGTATAAATGAATGTCAGCATTAGCTCTCATTGCTGAAGTTTATTTAACAAGTAGTGCCAGAGATAACAGTAATTGGAAAAGTTGTGCTTGACTGTGGACTGGTTTTGGCAAGCCAGCAGTATGAGTTCTGTCAGATGTTGTCTAATCGCCTCAAACAACTTCATACATATCAGGAAAAGGATTTTCAGGGAAAACTAGCCATGTAACCTTGCAACCTTTCCCACCATGAAGTCAAGCAGAAGGCATAATGCCTGAAGCTACTTTAACAAATCACATGATATCCTGATAAAGTCTCATTTCTGTGTTTCATTCTTTTTTCTTTTGTATCGTTTCTTGTAAGATGCAGGTGGATGTCTGTTTCACAGTGCGAGCTTCTTCACTGGCATGCAAAATTAAACCCCCTTCTGCTTATATAGACTTGTTCCTATGTCACTCTCTGTTCAACTCATTTTCTCCCTAAATTATGAAAAAGAATTTTTCTTGTTATGAGTCCACGACCCACTGGAATAATTGAGGAAATCCCTGCTGAGCTCCACAAAGTGACTTAACCTCACATGTCTGTCCTAATTAGTCCAATTTAGGTTGTAAGCTTTGTAGTATTATAACAATGTACTTTTACATACACTTAATAAGCAGTAAAATGCTGGATAGTCAGCAAGAAACAAATGCTACTTTTGTAAATACTCTTCAGTTTTAAATGTCTGTTTCATTGTGAGCTGTTTTCTCCTTCTTTCTCTCCACTTAGTTTTCAGAGTACATCCAAGCTCAAGTTGATTCTGGCAAAGGAAAACTAGCTCCTGGTTTTGATTTTGAAAAGATTGTTAAAAATATGTTCACCAATCAAGACCGGGATGGAAATGGTAAAGTTACCGCTGAAGAATTCAAGTTGAAAGACCAGGAGGCCAAAGAGGAACATGACGAACTGTAAAGATAAGAAAAGAGTCCTGAGCTGACCTACGGTTTGTCTGGAATTTCCAAAAGGTCCCCATTCTCAGCAGTTCCCTGCCCCAGCACTGCATGTGCAATGTGATCATGAAAGGATGCTTGTGCTGCCTTGGACTGGGCATCAAGCCTCTGCCAGGCACTCAAAATACAGGGATGATTTAATTTCAGTTTACTACAGAGGATGGAAACTACCCCCAACCTTGCTGCCTTGGAAAAGTTTCAGCAGGCATGGTAACAGATGTAAGCCTGCTGATTTGGAAAAAATGTGACTGATGTTACCAAGTCAGAATTTAGGTGATAGACCACAGGCTGGATGGAAAGAGGCTGTTTTTTGAGGTGTGTATTGCTTGTTGGTGGGAGAGAATGCAGATCTAGACTCTCCCATATTTTCATTACAATTCCCCAGGGAATGGAAGTTGGCACAATTCCTGCTGTGGAAAGCAAGTAAAGGGGAACAATGATGATACTGCAGAGCTAGGAAGTTGTATGATTGCCTCGACTTTATTGATGAACAGAGCTGGTACAGCTGAGCTCTCTCAGGACCAGGGTCACACCACCATCTTTAACTTCTCCTGAAACATCTCAGGGTAAGCTTCCAAAGCTGCAGCTAAATTAGGCAGTATCATTTTGTATATGAAGTACACTAATGTGTTCAGCCCATGGAAAATACTGTCTGAAGAAATTTTTTACTGTGAGGCTGGTGAGGCACTGGAACAGGCTCTCCAGAGAGGTGGTAGGTGCCCCCTGCCTGGAAACATTCAAGGTCAGGTTGGATGGGGCTCTGAGCACCCTGATCTAGTGGAAGGTGTCCCTGTTCACTGCAGGGAGGGTTGGACTAGGTGACCTTTAAAGGTCCCTTCCAAACCAAGCCATTCTGTGATGATTCTATGAAGATTCAGTAGGTGTTCAAACAGAGAGGACTGGCATAACAGAGCTAGAGGAGCTAGATGCTGCGCTGATACTTAGGCTCACAATTTGCAGAGGGTGGCAACGTGACCTACAGCCAGTCTGGAGAGGTGTTCCTTAAGTGCTTCTGAGGCATGGGGCTGGTAGCAAGAAATCTTAATTTTGCAAGATGGCTAAGTCAGCTTTTCAAATCCAAGATTAAGATCGAGCTTTGTTTTGATTTTCTGTGCCTGGAGCAGCTCATTGAGAATTCCAAGAGAAATTGTTTTAGACAAGCCATGCTAGCTTTGACATGAAACAGCAGGCTAGAAGTGAAATAGTACACAAAATAAGATCTGGAAAGGGGCTGAAATTTTGGCTGTGTCCTATTAGCTTGGGAAACTATCTGTTGTTACAAAGACGAGAAACTACCTCAGATACACTAACTTAAACCATGCTTCCCATTCCACAGAGGAGAAAGAAACAGTAAGGAGACAGTAATTTTGTAACGATACAAAAGTCTGTTAAGAAACACTTTGTCTGAATTGGGTGAATAAAGAATTTTTACTGAAGAAAAATGTACGTATGAAAAACTGTGGAGTATGTAGCATCTGAGTGAGAGCTTTTGAAGTACAGCTGAGACTGAAACATCTTCCTTGAAAGAAGAAAAGGCAACACAAATGTGCATGCTGCTTATTCACAGAACGTTTATATCTTCAATTTTACAAAATAGTCACGTTTTCTAAAATGCTCCTCTGAAATGCCTGATTAAAAGACAGTGAACCATAGTATCCCAGCAGCAGCAGCAGTTTATCACATCTATAAATCTAATTTAAATCTAGTTATAACAGGAGTGTGAGACAATAAAGAACAGCACAAGAGCAGTAAAAGGAGCTTCTAGTTGACAGTGGATACCATATGTGTTTCCAAATACCAAAATGAAGATAAAAGTTTTAAATTAAATTAAACAGTTCTGTAAATGAGTTATAAACACATCTAAGACAGCACATGTGTGCTCTTCTGTCCAGTTGCCTCCTGGAAGGAATGGAGTGACCTGAGACTGCAATTTACAGGATTTTCTGTAGGATGGAGTTGGCAACTTCCAGGGATTCATCTTTCACCAAAACAATATCGTAAGAGTCCATATATTTTTCCAAAAGCTCATCTACCTATTTGCAGAGGGATAAAGAGAAAGACCCACTTAGTTATAGAATTAATTACTGAAAGACTTTTTTGTCATTAAAATATTGCCGTGTCTTTCTACCAAATTCAGGGAATGAGCCATGCAAATACGTATCGCTCCTATGAGAGAATTTCACAGGATGACAAAGAGGGAGTGTGCACATGCCAGGATATAATACCTCACGTTTACTCTAGGATCTTGCACATAAAGATACTGAACAAAAAATTACTTCTTCAGCTTCCCTAAAGGTACAGTGAAACAGAAAACCGAAGTTTTCTCTGTCCTGAATGCAAATGGATGTGCATTGTAACTTAGCAATCAGTTCTGTGTTGCCTCAGAAAAACAAAGAAAGAACAGGAGACACTGCCTACATTTGCTATTTGGAAGATTATAATTTTGCTCAATTATCAATCCAGTATTGAAAGGGGGGAGAGGGAAGCCTCATGAATTTAAGAGGATTAATTTCTCTAGCCTCTGAATTTTACTTCTCAGCAAAATACCTTTTTGGAAGTAGTTCAGTACAAAACCCAAAGCAATTTGCAGCTGTGTTCCTGTAGCTTATGGGTTAGAAAAACACTTGAGGCAAGAAATCCATGAAAAATATTGCAAATCTCAAAACAAATATGGGCCAAACACTTGGTTTGATGTCTGAGGCTTATTATAACAAACCTGTTTTTAACTCACAATGTTTCACTCAAAGTTTACAAGGTTATATCAGGCTACTTACTTTATCATTGAGATAGCCGATCTTAAGAATATGTTCAACATTTGCTACTCCATCTGCCATACTCAAGTCTCCTTGAGAATCACCCAGCAGAATGATATTACTGTTGTCTTTTAGTTGTTTGAAGTACTCTGTATTCTTCAAGGCACCGTCATGTTTGTTGTAAACATGAATCAATTCTCCTTTAAATCCTTTTAATATTCCCTATAAAAAAACCCCACTGAAGTTATTTCTAGTATCATATAGACGAGAGAATCCAGAATGAAACAGGTGATATTACTCCTGAACTAACACTGTTCAGATTACAGAATATGTAATCTCTATTGACGAACGAGGTAAATTCCTGTTAAATAACGTAATCACTGTAATATCATTGTTAGGACCAGATAACGATTCTCTCTGCTCAGAGGAGGAGTAGCGCTGCGCTGGGCTTCATGTGACGTGGTCGTTAAAAGAAATGAACAGTATCTTAGTCACACCACGCTAACAGTGTTTGAACTGCTATTCTCTGCTTGTTTTTTTGCCTGGGAGAGTGCTAAGTATGCAACTGTCATTTTCTATATGGCAGGCTGGATGGCTACATCTGTTGCATTAAAATGTTCATCTTGCATATATAAATAGCTACTAAATACAGCAAGCAGTCATATTTGATAAGAATGTGTTATTTCATACGTACATTTTCATCAAAATCCATGAAATTGGAAACCACTTTGACATTTGAATGGTAGACCCCAGCCTGGTGGATAACTTCCTCAAGAATGTCCCCAATACCAGCAGAAAATATGAACACAGGAATATTATGTTCACTGAGCTTATCAAAGAAGTTCTCATAGCCTTCTCTGCAACACAGAATGTAAATACAAATCAAATCTCAAATAAAGCAAGGCAAGAAAAGTCTGAGTTTTCAGAAGACATTCACATCATCTTTGGAAAAGAAAAGTAGTTTTCCCTGAGCATTTCACTTTACTACTTTTGCCTCATCTTTTCAGGTTAACAAGAACCATCAGCCTAACATAAGGCATGTAGCTTTAGCAAGAAACTACTGCATCGAGCTGTTTGGTCTTAGTCTGTATAACTTTTTCCCTTAAAACATCTAATCATGTTTAAAAGATTTAAAAACATTTCCCCCTCCCCAAACACCCCAGAAAAAGCAAGCAAGTAGTAGAACTCTCTCTAGCTACTCTCAGGCTGTACATCTCATTTCAATCTTACTTGCTTAAATATTTGACTTTATGTAGGGTTATTACCATAGAACAAATTTTGTTTTGTTTTTAAATAATAAAAACATTTATTGTTGCTCTTTCCTGAAATTTTTAAAATTTTCAGTACCC